CGGACTTACCAATGTTGATCACAAAGCAGCAACAATTTAGACAACACACAGACAATTAATAATAATAATAACACTGAAATTGTTAACTCTCGAATTTATTAATTATTAAGTTACACTTGGGAATACGGTAATTAATATTCACGGCAAGAAACAATTGACTTCCAAAATTACCCTGAAACACGATCCGAATAACACTATCGAAAAGGTAATTGATATCGTAATCACGCTGGCCGGCTTCCCCATGCGACGCTCCCTCAAAGATCCAGTGGACGAACTCCTAAACCGCTTCACCGATTGGACGCTGGAAACACCGCACAAAACGAAACACAAAGTCTCAGGACCAATCACGAGATCCCCGCGAACATTCAAATATCCATAATAACCCAAATAACCAGAAAGGAAATTATAACGAAATGCTTCGTTACAATTAAAGCAAGAATTCATTTTATTTATTTTTATTTACTTCTGCATTTTTTGACAAATTTTTCTATTATTAATTTGATAAAAACAACGTTCAAAACAATTTAGATGAAAATTAATTTTTTTAAGGTTATGTTACCTTATACCGGGAAGTTTTGTCTAAAATACAGCAAATAAATTATTAGTAGGTATTTGTTACATTTATTTTCAAGTGTTTAAAGTTAAGAATTAATATAATAATATATAATTTACATAAACTCACTTATACGTCAACGGATCTTCTTTCAACTCATTCAAAATAGTCATTTTTTTAAGTTCGAGTAATGTTACTCTTTATTTATTTTATATTCTCCGAGAATAATCTGACTTTCTAAATTGTCGCTCGAATTTAAAAACCGAAATAATCGATTATTTTTATAAAATACGCGATCTAAAAATTTGAAAGTTAAAAAATACAATTAATGAATCATAACCAAATAATAAAAATTTTGTAATTTCAAATGCATAATCAAATATAATTGAAATAATATACTTGGAATGTCTTTTGATTCAATAACATTAGTCCCGATTTGAGAAGAATTATTTGTTGCCGAAGAAGAATCTTTAACTTCATTCGTTATTTGAACACTCATTTCAATTGAACACCGAAACTACGACTTCCATCTTATCCAAACTTGCGAAATCAATGATTAAAAATCTTCATGCAAAAGTTTTACAAGAATGCGTGCCATTAATTATATTAAAAATTAAATCAAGCCCAAAACAAACGCATAGAATTTTCCATTAGAAAATAAATGGAAATTATCAAAGAACTGCGGTAAAACACAATAATATACATAACCTACACTACCGTCCACGAGTATCAGGACGATTACATTCGACTCTATGAAAAAACATGCCATCACTTTTTCAATCATATCTCGGAAATAAAAGGAGATACAAAAAAACTTAAATACGGTTAGAAAGCTGATTAAATTTTGCGTAAAATAAGCCGTCTTTGAAGTCATTTCGTTAACTATTTGTTGAGTTGTAGAGTGAGAAAGAAATAAAAAAAAATTATAAAATTTTTTCATTTTTGTCTCTTGACTTCAACTTTTTAAAAAATAAAGAAAAATTTAAATAAAATTTTTCTAAAAACACAGAAATCTTTGTTAGAATTTCAGCTTTAAAATATGCCTTCGAAAATTAAAAAAAGTTAATAAATGTGAAGCCGTATTTCGACCGATTGGTGCATTGAAATTCAACTGTGACGACTCGATTCTGGCTTCGCGCGGCAGCGAATGAGAGAAAAAACAAGGACGAATTTATTCTGGAGAATAATAAATAATGATGTTTCACGAGTAATATAAAGAAACTCGAAAGTTCATCGTTCCCCCGCATGAATTCGTCTCTGTTGTCTCTCTCATTTGCTGCCGCGCGAAGCCAGAATCGAGTCGTCACAGTTAAATTTCAATGCACTAATCGGTCGAAACACGGCTTCACATTTTTAATGATATATCGAAGACCGATTAACCTTTTTCAATTTTCGAAGACATATTTTAAAGCTGAAATTCTAACGAAGATTTCTGTCTTTTTAGAAACATTTTATCTAAATTTTTCTTGATTTTTTAAAAAGTTGAAGTCAAGAGACAAAAATGAGAAAATTTTATCATTTTTTTTATTTATTTCTCACTCTACAACTCATCAAATAGTTAACGAAATGACTTCGAAGACGGCTTATTTTATGCAAAATTTAATCAGCTTTCTAACCGTATTTAAGTTTTTTTTGTATCTCCTTTTATTTCCGAGATATGGTTGAAAAAGTGATGGCATGTTTTTTCATAGAGTCGAGTGTAATCGTCCTGATACTCGTGGACGGTAGTGTATAATTGACATTAAATCTCATTCTTTCATTTTGAAAATATGTTTACAAAAATTACAAAAAATTTAATGAATCAAACTTACCTTTTATCATTAACGTAGTTAAAATTAGTTTTAATATCTGTGATATACTTAAGATATGCTCGTATATATAAATTTATTCACAATCACGCATATAAACATTTATTTCACCGAGCAGCAAATGACCCGAGAAAAGAGAACTGCGGGAAACCGGCAAAAGACAACAGTTGATCGTTTAGAAGGATGGCAACTCGCTTTCAGGAGAGGAATTGCGGTCTCTTATGGTAGAGTGCGATGCTCTCTCAAATAAAAGACAGCAATTTTCTCTACAAGGAGAGCATCTGTCTTTAAATTTTTTCAGTGTGGTCACAAAAATTAAAAGAATCTAAATAGCAATATACCTTTTTCAAGGCCACGAAATCAATTAAAATTGAAAAAAGTACGAATCGGGCATTTCAAGGCCACAAAATCATTGAGACTTGAAAAATAGTACCAATTAACCTTTTCCAAGGCTACAATCATCGTCATCATCCCCGATACACTTCTTTGGAAATGGGTATTTCTTGAAAATTGTGCTTCACCACAATTGAGGGTCCCTATCAAAGAACTGGTCATAAGTTTTTTAAGGAGGAATGGTATACCTAATCGGGCCAAAAGTTTGTGACATTTAGGGGAATTTTTAATTTTTTTATTTAAGCTACATATAGCAGTTTTTCTTATTAAAATCATAAAAGTAGACATCAATGAATATTAAAAAGTATATATTAAATAAGGAAAATATAATAAATTTATTAAATTACATTTTTTTATAAAAGCAGAAAATAATTTTTGTTACTGTCTGTACGAATTTAAAACCTAAGAAAATAAAAGTTACTGAAATTTTCTAAAAATTATTTTCGGATTTATCGAGTATTCCATTGCTAACTTTGAAAAAATGCTATTATTACGTATATATGTGTCTTATTATGCTGTAATATTAATGTTATTAATTATAAACATTGTCAAATAACAATTTTTAATCAGCGTATAATCGTGACAACGTCGCCATGCAAGTAGTTTGTTTTCTGATCGTTGGTAACAGTGTCAAGTGTTATGATTTGCATTTATGTGGTAAAAAATAATGAAAATTTGTCATTTTTGATACCTTTGGCGCCATCTCTTGGTTCTATGTACCACTAAACAGCTGTCACATGTGAGTTTTTATATGCACTGTTGCCAAGTTTTCTCTGTTTGTCTGTCATAAAATTAGTTTTCTTCCAGAAACTAATTAATTACTTTTTAACTACTTAGTGAATAAAAAAGAACCTTCGTCATTAATAAAGCATAAATCTTGACCTTCAAGACACAATTTTTACTAAAAATTCTGAATGTTTTAAGTATTAAATTTTTAATGATAAACATGCAAATTCGTGCTTTCTCCATAAGAGGTAATGTTAAATTAAATAATTTTTAACTTGTAAACTATTTAGTGAAAAATTCTGAAATTTGGTGGGTAATTTTATTATATAAAAGCAAATCATTTCCCAAATTATCAAAAGATTCTGAATGTTTTAAATTTCTATACCATTCCTCCTTAAGCTCGAAATCATTGCTCTGTAAATGAAAAATTAAACTGTTTTTAATCCCAATTTTTTGAGAAACATTTGGGTAATCTTTATACCAATACAAAATTATTTATAGAAATTAAAATTTTAAATCCTTTTTTTATTTAGAAGTCGAGAATTTTGAGTCTTAAAAACTTATAACCGGTTCTTTGATAGGGACCAAGAAGACTAGAGACAGGAGGTAAAACTTCGGTAGTGAGGATGAGTCACCAGCCTGTCTTTAACCAAGCGTTTCATTTTAAAAAGTCGTCGGCGCGGTGCTTCTGCACATCACTCACACATTTAAAATTTTCTATACTGTGTGTTTCACACATGATATGCTTTCAATTTGAGGTTAATGGTTGTGTCAAAACGGATACGCATATAAATGATTCAAGTGATTAGTAAATTTAGTGCATTAATTTAGTGTTATTAAAATAGTTATAAAATGCCGAAAACGTGATGTGTAAAAAGAAATAAAAAGAAAAATAAACACAACACTGAAAACCAACAACAATTTTTTCATATTGTATTTGCAGGTTAGATGCGCAGAAGTCTATTGCAGCGGAGACTTTTTTGAAAGATAACGCCTGACCATAAACAGCTTAGCGACTCACCATTCCCATACCCCCACTACCGAAGTTTCACCTCCTGTCTCTAGCCTTCTTGATAGGGACTCTTAATTATAAATACGTATACATTTTTATTCAAAAAATTTTATTACATTAAACACTTCTGAAAATGAAACGAGAAAGAAAGCTTTTGCTCGGAATATATAATAATAAGATGTGAACGCTCCCACTGCATCACTTAACTATGAGCGCCGCAATAGGTAACGCAACGATAATTTTTCATGCATCATGAAAAAACTATATTTTTTTAAACTAAAAATATGTTATTATCAGTACTTATTAGGTAAGTTTAATAACACGAACTAGATTATGAATTTAATATTAATTAAAAATTGCAAGAAGAATAAGTAAATATTATATATGAATTTTAGATATGATTTTACAGGACGATAATACTTTCAATTTTATAAAATTTTGGGAAAACTTAATTACAAGACACTCTATGTGAATGTTAAAATTTTCATTTTGTTGAATCCATTTGCAGTTATTCGTCGGGTCGAGTTCTTATGAGAACCGTAAGAGGAAAAGAAAAGACTTGCTACTACCCATACCATCCTGGAACTCATGAAGAAAGTGAAGAGCATCTTACGCCTGGAAGATTCCACAGTCGTCCTGTTTCGAAAGAAGATTTGACTTCTTCGAGGTGATGAATCTCTTCTTATTAAAATAACTTTTGTTAAACTTTGTCACTCACATTTTTTTTAATTAAAAGAAATAATTATAGATTTTTAAAAAATTTTTTGCTCGCAAAACAACCTGAATCAATTTAGATTTCAAATAAAATAATTAATAAATTAAATATTCAGAAAGGAACATGTACATAGATAGTATTCATATTGTAAATTTGTTAACTAAAGAGACATTTCTCAGTTCAGGAGTAAGTGGACAAAAATAAAGTTCACATTTTACTGTTTCCAGAAATTTAAACATATATGTAATTTGATTCATAACAAATATAGTTAATTTCAAAATAGAACAAATATACTGAATTATTTATATCAGAATATTTATTGGACTTAAAAGTCTTATTAGTACTTAAAGTGAATCGTAACTAATGAATTTTAAAGTTATAGGGATTTCTTCTATGTAAATTGTAAACCAACTATCATTTTTAATTTTGTTGTTTAAGTCCAAACATTACTAAAATAATATAATTCTTTATTAACAAATTCTTTTTAAAGTAGCGATGACTGTTTAGGAAAATTTAATTATCATCACCGGAAAATACAAAGTGAAAATTTAAAAAAAATGTACTTATCTACTTTTGGCCCTTTATAAATATTGTTTTATTTAATAGCAAACAGCATCACAGAAAAAATTTTAAATACAAGATCAAGCACATATATGCTATATAGGATGCATTCGTTACAAACTTTTATTAATAAAAAAATGTTTCTTTTGGTTAAAAAACACAATATTTGTTTAAGGTATTTCATAATATTTTTAACATTCGCAGCAGTAATGAAATTTATTTTTAATGTTTATAATTAGCCTTGCTGATGGTGCTCGATTCGGAGGAAGCTGTCAGATTCATGGACCACCTTTACCACCACTTCCACTTCATGCTGAATGTGAAGATCTCTCGATTGCTGCAGAACCAGCCATCGAGGAGTTTAAAAACCCTGCGCTTCGAAGTACTCCTACATTTTCACATTCCAGATGTCCACCGGAAATCCACAGATCCTGCATTTGTGTTAGGTTTATAGCGGAACACACAAAAATGCTAGAGGACTCTACAAAGGTAAAAAATAAAATATTTTAAAAATTTATTCTGATTATTTTTTTTGTAGTCGGAAGTAAAAAATCTGTAAATTCAGATACCTGAATGAAGAATCCCAGGATATATGGGGGTGACCGTTCCTGTTTTGGTCGACCCACTGAAACCACTCTTATCTTAATCTGGACTATTCTTCAACCGACGGAACTACCTATTGGCTTTAAGCTTCATGGGAGAAGTTCTTATTTTGTTACTCGCGCAACCATTCCGTACCGCTTTTGTTCTGGCCTATTTATTCTCATTCTAGCTAGAGTCTTTTTGGCTTTCTCAAGGGCCGAACTGAAGGCTTCGCATCCACCGCAGCCTGCGACATGGTTGACATCAACTTTATCGCCGCACTTTTCTTTACATAAGAAGCAGCTTCGGCTCTTCTTACAATTTGCTACCTTTTGGACGGCTTCTCCGCGCTTGAAGCACACAGCTGACCTATCTATCAAGGCACCTATGGCACCTTGTGACCACAAATCTTCTTCTGACCTTGCAGGACACGAAAGCAATCTTAACGTGTCCAATTTTCTCCAGGTTGTCAGCCTCTTCTTAACTGGTGACCGCGACATCGAGCTTTACTCCTCGATTATTTGGTCCTTTTCTGTAAAAACATCTATATCGCGGATTTCCAGATTAGTTTGCCGGTCTGTCATACCTAAAGCTCCAATAACCTTTGTCACCTCCTCGGTGAAAGACGCCTTATTTGAAAGCTCTCTAATTTTAATAAGGAGGTCTCCCTTTTTAGTGAGTAAAGCTCCTACAACCCTTGTCTGAATAGCCTCCAGGTCAGCCTCTTCACGAACTTTCTTCAGCACTTTGGCGAATGTAGTTTTCTCAAGCACTTTGACGATTATTGTTGTTCGTTGTTTTGGCTGTCTTCCTTCTTCCTCTTTATGCCCTTCGCAAGACGTTTTTTAGCATTACTGCATTAAAATGGTCACGTCTCAGGTTTCGGTCCGTGTGTGCTTCTTCTGACCAAGTTAATCCCTGGTAGAACTTCTCATCTTTTTTTTATCGCTACTTCGTGCTTTTTCTTGACATCCTGTATGAACGATGTTAAGCTTTTGAATCCATCCTTGATTGTCATATTGACATTCTTCTGGATTTTTCAGGACTTTAGCATCTTGCTAAAGAAAATTCTTCCATTTTCAGAATGCTCGCTGCCTCTTTCTCCCGCAGCCTAATTCATTCATCTCGATCTTCGTTACAGCTAGCAATGCAATCGCAGAAGAATTACTAAAGACAGAAATGCAGCTGGCTTGACCTGTTACAATGCTCGTACTTCTTCGTCTATCTACTCTAAGCCAATTCTTGATACCACCAAAGCGTTATTACCCTCCTGCATCCTTATGCCACTGACCACAATTCTCACGCCAGGCGCTTGACGATCGGAACCAGTGACGGGTACAGCCGAAGCATTACCCCGCAGGAACTCTTCCATGTTTTTACAATCGCTCATACTTGATGTTTGTCCCGTATCGAGTGATGATCGGGACTTAATAGGGAACTACCATCTGGCCAAGATAGACCCTGAACCGTCTCCGTTAGTTACATAGACGTTATAGCATTGCCGAAGCATTGATGCGACGTCCATGATATCCAAGGGCACGTGAACATTGTAAGTTCGGACGTGGAGGTCAATGTATCTCACCAAGATAGCAGGAAGTTTCCGCAAGGGGAACGTATCCTGGTATCTCTTCTCAGAATTCACCCTCTTATTCTGTCCGTTTCATTGATACAAATATTTTGAAAAGGTAGTGATTCGTAAAAGTGCAATATTGTAAGTATTACTATTAAGATTTTGAAACGTTTCATATCTGACAAATTAACATTTAACACATTTAATGTTCTAGACAAATTTTAAGAACATTAAAATTTTTTCAAATGTTAATTTTGCAAACATGAAACGTTTTAGGAATGCTCCTAGAACGTGAATATATTTATTGTTCACTGAGCAGCAGCCTATCGAAAGTCTGCTACAGGGCTTTTTTCAAGTAGCTCCTTATCTCTTGCAAAATGAAACGTTTGATTGATAAACCTGCAATTATTTTTGTTAAAAACACTTATATAATATTTCTTCAAAAGTAGTAGTGCATGAAGAATTTCTCAGTTTACTATAAGCAGGTAAACATTTAGCTCCATCTGTTAGTTTTTTCGTATGTTGTCGATGATGTTCTTATCCTTTCAATAATAATAATTGGAACACTTTAACGTCTTACAATAACACAATTCATTTTATGCCGTTGTCATCATTAAATTTATTTACATATTTATATGCCTTACAAAAATTATAAAACGCCTTTCTTACCAATATTGATAAATGAAAACAAAATAACATAAGTAATAAGAATGTTAAATTAGGTAGCAGTAACATTAATATTTATTAATATCCTAAAAAATTTTGTACAATGATAAAGTGAGTATATCTAAGAGATTAAATTATTGTTTCATAGAATTTCCTTACATGCAAAATATCCATTTACGATTATACAGAAAAACAGATCTAGATAAATCATATACCAAAAGACTTTCTTAACGTTAAAGAAGCTTCCAAGTTCCATTCATGCTTTAAAAAGTGTAGATTATTCTTTTCTGCCTATTAGCAAAGAAAAAAGTGTATTCTGAATGCCGTCGAATCTTTGAATATTAAAATGGTCTATATACCAAACTGCATAATTATACAAACATTGAATAATCGTAAAATTATTGAGAAATACAATAACCTCGAGGTGGATGCTTCAGTCAATCTTAAAGCAATTCTAGTAGCAAAGCCAGGAACTCTGTGCGACTCTATGTACCTACTACCTTCCTTGTGACCTCATTAATCTTCCGTTGACACACTCATTTTTTGTCACACTGTTAAGACAACTAGGGCAATTTGACCCAAACTTAGCGATCGTGACATTTAATTAGACTTTAGTCGATCAATTAAAATAAAATTAATAATTTTACTTTATATTAACTGTCATATAATTGTTTTATGTTAAGTTTAAAAATATGTAATTAAATTGTTTTAAAAATTAATTTATTAATTTTTCATGAACAACTTATGTTATAATGAAGGTTTACGACATGCAGAATTAATGGTGTGATCCATCCTAAAACTATAGACCTGACTGAAAAGAGAAGCAAATTAATCTGTTAAACGGGTATCATAAAATAATTCATAATGCGTATATTTTACATAAAAAACTTTCATTTTACCTTTCTATAAGTAAGTTGTTTTCTATATTTTCAAGTTGATAATTTATTTTTCCAGGTTAAAGAAGATTGGAAATATGTAGCCATGGTCCTTGACAGACTATTTTTGTGGATTTTTACATTGGCAGTTTTAGTTGGAACGGCAGGTATCATCTTACAAGCTCCAACTCTCTATGATGACAGAGTTCCTATTGATAAGAAGTTTAGTGAATTTGCAACAACAACAGTCGTCAGATGTCCTCCACAGCAGTAGTCTGTGCAACTACTGACCCAGCACCATAAAATAAGAAATTAAACTACAAATACGTTACATTACTCGTGTCTGTTTATTATTTTCATTTTCGCTGTAATTATTTAGAAATAATAGCTACAGGACTCGCCTAATCAAATAATAGTTAATATATTAACGTCAATAATATTATTATACAGTATTAACTTTATAATAATATTTTTGATTAAATTTGAAAAATGATTATAAACAACTCAAAATTATAAGTTATAAATTCGTTCAAAAATTACAGACAGTTAAATTCTTCCATAATGAATTTTCTCTTAATGTGAATGTGTAAAAACTGAGACATTAATTTAGAAATTAATTAAATTTTCTACTACTTTTTATAAATTTTTTCAAAACGCTAAAAATTATTATTCAAAGTAACAAATAAAATCATTTGTGTTTGGCCTCCCACATAACCATCAGATTAATAAGTAGTAGACAATTTTAAAAATTGTTAGTAACTATTTACTTGATATAAATTTTAATTACTCCTCTAAAATTATTGTTTCCAACAATTTCTAAATTAAGTTTAGTAACATTTTTTATTTCACAAAATTTATTGCAAGTTCAGTTAATTTGAATTTGAAATTTATCAAGTATTTTTTGAAATTTTAATAAATTTGAATTAGATGCATAATGGTAAACAATTTAAATTATTATAAACGTCAATTACGTCAAATTAGTGACTGATAAAAAATTAAAAAGATTTCTGTTTTAATTAGTATTTGATATTTAATTAAACTGTTTAGCTGAAAACTTACTTTTAAAAAGAAACCCAGTCACTAATTGAAATTAGCCAAATGTCAACTAATTCAAATTAAAAAGAGATATTCGTCCAGTTGAAGATCAATACTGCGTTAAAATTACATTCACAGGAATTGAAATGTGGTTTTTATACGTTTTTTATGTGAGACCCTCGAAAAATTGTCACGCGTTTCGTACATATTTAAAAAATGGATCATGTTATGCTTGTCAAAAAAAAATTACTATAATATAAGGAAAATTGCTTGCCTTAGCAGGATCTAGTTTAAAGTTTTTAAGCATCCTCAGTCATCACTGTTGGATAATGTGGGACTACATAGTAAGGATTAATATTGTTATTACTATTAAGGTTTAAAACGAATTTTTCAATCAAGTAAATTATGGTTTACATATACTATATGAATATACAAAAAACATACCTTATAAACTCAGTTTGTCCAAAAAATAATTTTAAGCTTTATGGTTATCAAAAATGTTTCATAAAAGTTATGAAAAACATATTATCTAATACAATTCTAAGTTTTATTTGCCAAATAAATATATTTACAAATATTTATGTGGCTGCAAAAGTGCCAAAAAATCCTTTACTTGTTAAGTCTTCTTTCAAGTTTGATTGACAAAATATTTTATATGCAACCACTTATTAAACTGTAGTTACAAAACTACTTTACTAAACAAACAAGAAACACTATGTTAATGATACAAAAAGTTTTTAGTATACAACAGTCGTTACGTTTTATAAAACAGGTTACAAAATAATTTCACTTTATAAATTCACTAAACAATATATAAAAAATAACTTTTCAATTAACATTCAAAATACAGTATTCTTTGTTTTATCAAGATCATAAACAATCAACTTGAAATTTTTAATTTTTGCATTTTAAGAGTATTACTTCCCTCACAGTATGTGCTAATGTAAGTAGTAAAAAGTGCGCTACTTGTACACGAATTTTGTACGACAATCCGTTTCAAATTGACGGAAATTTCACTGTGAAGCAGACAAAAGTCCAATAATTTTACGTAGACCACCTCAAGTTTACAATTTTTATTCACATCTGGTGAAGTCATAAAGAGAAAGAGCAAATTCATTCAAATTTAAAAACATATTTAAGCATTTTGAATAATTTTAGAAAAGTAGCCCTACTAACAGATAGAGCAACTCATTTGAAAACTTTTTCTCGTATTATTACATATTTTTTGTCTTCTTTAAATAATAATTACAATGAGTCATAAAAAATTATACATGATACATTCTAAAGTGTAAGATCATGCAAATATAGAGTTACATGTGGAAGATTGTGTAAGGAAAGTAAAATGGATACTCGTAAATATATAGGTGTAAAAGTATTGTCAAATAGATTGACTCTAATAACACAATTAATTCATTTCTGTATTTTGTAAGTTCTGTAAGAAAAGTTCTTTTAACAAAAGCCATGTGTATCCCTTTCTATATGATTCGCCTGCCCTTGACTGACGTTTATCAATTGTTTATAATTAAAAGTCATCCACACTGGAAAAACCTGGTTTGAAAATATGTAGCTTACACGGAGAGAAGAGTTGCAGTAAATTTAACAGAACGCGTTTAGTAAATCATTTACTACGCCGATAGTGGCGCCAACTGAATGTTTAGTATAATACAATACGACACCTTTCTGTTTAGTACACTCAATAACATATATGCTTTCCTTTCGGTTTGAACAACTTTTTGAAAAGTGGTGTGCCTTCTATAAGAATGTTTTAAGTCTATGGCGTATGATGGAATTGAGATTAATCAATTTAAAAACAAATGGAATTGAGTAATCTCAGTTCCATCATACGCCATAGACTTTAAACATTCTTATAGAAGGCACACCACTTTTCAAAAAGTTGTCCAAACCGGAAGGAAAGCATATATGTTATTGGGTGTATATATTTAACTGCCATGTCAGTCGATTCTACTACGCCCTTCTCTTGTATGCTACTCATTTTGAGTGACAACAAAAATGAGACTTTTATGTGACGCCACGTTGTATGGCGTTTAACATTATCTTATTTCATAAGCTGCAACACAAAAGTGAGACTGGGTTTTTAGTGTGCAAGACTCCTTCAAGTTTTGAAACCTTGCATCCACACCAACTTTAAAGAAATTATTGATGAATATATGTTAAACTTGAAATAAATCGTAACCATTCTTTATTATCTTAGTTTGTCAAAACCAGACTTCGCACTCGATAATAATTAATTATAAAAAAGTCGCAAAAATTAGCTTTTAAACTAAAAAAAGTAGCTACCGAAAAATTAAACTTGATGACAAAAAAAAACTCGTTTTCGACACTTCACAAAACTGACAAAAATTTCTTTACTTTTTCCTAATTTTCATCAAAAATATTTACTTCTTTCTTATCCTGCTAATAAATTCAATTCCTGCAACGAATTTTATTATTCATGAACGAATTTAAATATTTATAAAAATAATTTAATTCTTGACAAGAATTGTATAAAATGTTTGAATAATATTCATTTCTTTAGACTAATTTTATGCACATTCTAATTTAAATAATTGAATTCTGTTTGAAAGTTTTATGAAAATAGTAGATATTGAAAATCATTAAATCGCGAAAAGTTTTTAAAAATAAATAAATTTTATAAAAAATTCTATTAAAATTTTTGGCAATAACTAAATGTCTAGTATTGTATTGAATTTTTTTGAAAATAATTATTGAATTCCTAAAAAGCATTTTATTATTTCTGAAAATAATTGAATTCTTGCGAACGATTTTTTATTAGAATTTTTTAAAATAATTGAATAATAATAATAATTGAATAATAATAATTGAATTAAAATGCCTCAAAATAATTGAATTGTTTCGAAGAATTATGTATGTAAATAATTGAATTCTTGGGAAGAATTTTATTAAAATCCAAAAGAATAATTTAATTATTTCAAAAAAATTTAAATAAAATTATGTTTAAAATAATTAAATTCCTCTGAAAAATTTTAATGTTTTTGTAAATAATTAAATTTTTACCAACAAATTAAAAAAATAAATTTTAATTGATTTTTTCGAGGAATTGAAATTATTTTTAAGAATAATTAAATTTTTTTTGATCATTTTCTATAAAATTATAATAAAAATCATAGAAATCCTGTGATAAATTTTATTAATTATGAAAATAATTAAATAGTTGTAAAGAATATTATTATTAATGAAAATAATTGAGTTATTGCGAAAAATTTTATTAAAATTTTCTTAAATAATTCAATTTTCAAGAAGAAATTCATTACTTTTAAAAATAATTTAATTCTTGTGATGAATATTGTTATTTATGAAAACTATTGAATTTTGAAACAGAATTTTATTAAAAAGACTCAAAATATTTGAATTTTCAAGAATAATTTTGTTATTTATCTTTAATAATTGAATTCTTTCAAAGCATTATTTATGTAAATAATTAAATTCTCGGGAAGAATTTTATTAAAATCTAATAGAATAATTAAATTATTTCAAAAAAATTTAATTAAAATTGTATTTAAAATAATTGATTTATTTCAAACTATTTGTTTGATAGAAAGAATTTTAAAAAACATTTTTGTAAATAATTGATTTTTTCGAGGAATTAAAATCAAATTTTTAAGAATAATTACATTTTTTGAACAATTTATGAAAATAATTAAATTATTGCGAAAAATTTTATTAAAATTTTCTTAAATAATTGAATTCTTGATAAGAATTTTATAAAAATTGTTTTAAGTAATTATTTTTTCGAAATATAATAAATATTATGTAAATTTTATTTTTAATAATTGAAATCTTGTAGAAAACTTTATTTGTGAAAATAATTGAATTTTTCGATTAATTAATTTAAAAAAGTATTAAAAATAATTGAAATTCATTGATGAGTTTTATTATTTATGAAAATAATTTCATTCTTGCTTAGAATTATTATATAAAAATTTTTTTTTTAAATTGAATTTTTATGAAAAATGTTATTATTAATAAAGGTAATTGAATTATTGTGAAGAATTGCATAAAAATTTTGTTAAATAATTGATTTTTTAGAAATTGTTTTGAAAATGCTATTCTAAATTAATTGACTTCCTGTGGAAATTTTATTATTTATGAAAATAATTGAATTTTGGATGAATTTTTTCAATTTTCTTCTAAATAATTGAATTCTTTTGCGAAATTTAATGAAAATATTAGATATTGAAAATAATTGAATTTCGAATATTTTCTGAAAATAATTGAATCATTTTAAAGAATTTGATTATAATTTTAGAGAATAGTTTTTTGATTTCTAGTATTAAAAAATTCAAAGTAGTGGAAATTGTCAAATAAAAACAAAATTAGTAGAAATCGAAATAAAAGTTTCTTAAATAGTAGCATAACGTAAAAATAATAGTAAATAGTAGGTTTTAGTAGATGAGTGCGAAGCCTGAAAAATATCTTCAACTATGAAAATAACAACAGAATAGGGGAGACCAGAGCTAAATATTAAATTCAAAAGATTTCAAAAGATTATTTTTAAATAAATAATATGCTTAAAGTTGAAGACAGCTAAAAGAGCGTGTGGTACAAGATTTTGAAACAAGGATGGGATATAGATGAATTTCACGTATATGAACCAAGTGTGTATGCAATAGGACTGCGAGGCTTGAACCAAAACATCAGATT